TTATTATTATTATTATTATTATTATTATTATTATTATTATTATTATTTTAAATGTGTGTCTCTCTCCTTGCTTTGTAAAAATATCCCTATCCCAGTGGTGGGATTCAAACAATTTAACAACTGATTCACCCAGGGTCAGGTTGGCTGTCGTGGGAGGCGTGGCCCATCACCATCCTCTAGCTCCACTGCACATGTGGGACAAGCCTGTCAGCATTCCAGAAAAACAAGCTCCAATAGCAAAACTCCAAGACAGGCATTTTCTCAAAGTTCCATTTTGTTAGAGCTGCCATGCTGGCACATCTGGGAAAACCCGAATCTGAAAGTTCCCGGTTTTCCTCCAATAATTAAAAATTACAAATCCATCCCCTGCACCCATCATTCCATCCCATGCCCCAATCGCCATCCGTTCCAACTTGAGACAACCCTTCAACCGCTCCTCATCCAGGTGCAGAAATAACATGACCTTGACTTAGAAGAAGAATGCTATTAGGTCTAACTACATATGCTCCATTAAAATCCCCCCCCTCCCAAATTCCCACACTCAAGAATGTTGCAGCGTGGAAGCTTCTGGTGCTAATATGGCTTCCAAAGCAGGCAGAGCCTCCCACAATGGCCAACCTGACCCTGGGTGAACCGGTTGTTAAATTACTACCACCACCACCCCAGCTATCAAAGTGGATCCTGGGTGCTGTGCTGCAATGGAGAAACAGGAAATAGAGTGGGAAGGAGGAGGAGCAGGGAGAAGAAAGAGGGAAAGTAGCCTTTTCCTTCCCCCCCCCACCCCCGCCGGCCGTTCCGTTGCAGCGCAGCGCCCAGGATCCACTTTGATAGCAGTGTGTGTGTGTGTGTGTGTGTGTGTGTGATTTAACAACTGGTTCAATCCCACCACTGCCCTATCTCTATTTCAGACCAAAGTACTTAGGAAGGACACATCTGTTTGATGTAGGTGGAAGAGAGAAACTTCAAAAGACATATGATTAACCACTCTCTCCTGTACTAGTTTCGAATCTCGTGGCATCATGCAAGCTACAAAATGGTGCCTTATTACGTGATAATAGTTGCATTAGGTAAAACTCACTATTCTGGTTAAGCGTGGTTAAACTCCTCACTTAGAGTGGTATGTGAAGTCAAACTCTTTCTCCCCACCAAACCTTTCTCAAAAGGCTGGTGAAGCCATCTAGGCCAGGTTTCTCAACCTCAGCAACTTTAAATGGGTGGACTTCAAGTCCCACAATTTCCCCTCCAGAATGCTGAGTTGAGAAACCCTGATCTACGCTGTCCGTGCTTAAAGGAAGAGCAAAGTAAAAATGCAGTAGATAAAAGTAGGTTATTTAAAAAAAAAAAAAGCAATGCGATGCGATGTGATCAGTATAGGTAATCCTTGACTTACAACTGTAATTGAGCCCACAATTTTGGCCCAAAGTTGTGACAGTTGTAAAATGGGTCACCATGTGACCAGACCTGATTTTACAACCTTTTTTTTCTGGCAATCGTTAAGAGAGCATGGCAGTCCTTAAGGAAACACCATGGTCTTTGTTAAGCAAGAGCTCATCGTTCGCTGTGAGGCAGTTTTTGCCAGAAACTGGAAATAAATGGCGGCTTTCAGAAAAATGTCAAAAATCACAGTCACGTGACCACAGGCGCTGTAAATTAATGGCTGTAAATGCAGCCTAATTGCTGAGCACCCAAACTCTGGTCATGTGACTGTTGAGAGAGGCAGATGTTAGAACTTCAAAACTGGGTCATAAGTAGTTTATGAGAGGGGAGCAACTGGTTGTCAGTCAAGGATTACCAGAAGGTAAAAAGAAGTCAGTGCAGGTGTGTTGTATGCTCATTTTAACATCGATAGAATCTTGAGATTATTCTGTCCAGTGTTTGACATAGCCTTCTCTGTGTTTGCTGCAGCCCACCAGTCATGGTTCAGTCATCCATCGAGACATCTTTACCCGACAACACAATGTATGAAAACTCACAGTTGCCATTGTAAGGATCCCTGCCTGAGCAGGTCCCTTTCTGTTTTGTTTGTCTCAGAAAGAATAGCAGGCAGGACACTGACTAAATGTTATACAGGGAGTGCTCACTTAACCAACACAATAGGGACCAACAACTCAATTGCCAAGCTGCGTGTTCATTAAGTGAAACTTCATGTGACCGCACCCAGACTAATGACATCAGGTTACATTGTGGTTGCTAAGCGAAACACCCTTGGTTGGTAATAAGAGATCATGTGACCAAGGCTTGCATTTTTACGGCTGGCTTTTCCATTGACTTTGGAATCCAGGCTGTGAAGCTTACAGATGGTGATCATGTAACCTTGGAGTACTACATTGGTCATAAGCATGTGCTGATTACAAAGCACCAGAGTGGCAATCATGTAACTGTAGAAAACTGCAAGGGTCGTATGTTTTGAGGATCAGTCATAAAGTTACATTTTCAGTGCTGTCATTACTTCACAGTCACTAAACAGCAATTGTTAACCAAGGTTTATCTGTACTTGGATCTTATCAAGAATAGAACTACTCAATCCAGCACAATGTAGAGACCTGGGCATACATATCTATCTATCTATCTATCTATCTATCTATCTATCTATCTATCTATCTATCTATCTATCTAT